CACACACACACACAATTGCAGTATCTGAGCCAGAGGCTATTATTATCTTCTTGGCAAATGAGGCGCAGAGCAGAGCCATGGCCGCCAGAGCGTCGGTGTCAGTGCACAGGGTCTGGGGACCGGCCTGCAGCCTGTGCCTCAGCAAGCTACTGCACGCCTGGCTCCAGACTTTACCTGTTGCCTCTCCCCCACCACAGAACTGGGGATTGAGCCCAGGGCCTTCACACTGAGCGCCATGCCCAGCCCTTCTTATCTCACTCAGTCACTAAACTGGGCTCAAACCTGCAAATCTTCCTATCTCAGCCTCTCAGCTGCTGGAATTACAGGTGTGAGCTACCATACTTGACTCACCCCCTATTTTGGGAGGCAGTTTCTTAACCCAGGCTGGTAGTGCACACCCATAATCCCAGCACTTGGGAAGCTGAGGCAGGATTCCTGCAAGTTCCAGGCCACCCTGGGTTACATAGTGAATTCAAGGCCAGCCTGAGTTACATTAGGAAGACCTTGTCTGAAAAAACAAAAAAAAGGGAGGCTCAGGGCGCGAAGGATTTAGCTCAGTGGTTTCACTGTCTGCCTCACAAGCACAAGAACCAGAGTTCAATCCCTGGCACCAAAAAGAAAAAGAAAAAGAAGGGTGCCAGTGGTGCAGCTCAGTGGCATGCGCCTGCCTGGAAACCACAAGGTCCTGAGTTCGATTCCCAGTACTTCCCCCAAACAAGAACCGGTAAAAAACAACAACAAAAAGCCAGGAGGTGGGGCTGGGAATGCAGCAGCTATTTGGTTTTATCTCTCTGTCGGTTTTTGAGACAAATCTCACTGTGTCACCCTAGCTGTCCCTGAACTGGGCTCAAGGGAGTCTGGTCCGCCTCCTGAGTAGCTGGGCTACAGATGTATTTTGATGTATGTCTTTGCAGTGTAGGGGATGTAACCCAGGCCTCCAACCATGCTAGGCGAGTGCCGTATATAGTCCATGCCTGTAATCCTAGCACTTGGGAGGCTGAGTCAGGAGGGTCAAGAAAAATTGGAGCCCAGGCTGGGCTACATAGTGAGATTTTATCTTAAAAAACAAACACAATAAAGCAAGACAAATTTACAAAGAAGAAGGGCTGGGGATGCAGTGCAGAGGAGGAGCTTGGCTGGCATAGGAAAGAAAGGCCCTGGTTTCCAACTCCAAAGAAAAAGGCAAGGCAAACACATCAAGACATGCAAGGGGTAGGGTTTGGAAGGGGTGGGATGGGAATTGTAGGGTACATTCAGGGAAGGCCACATTTGCACAAAGATGGAAATGAAGACAGGAAGACAGAATACTAAGATGTGAAGGAAATATTTCTTTTTTTTAAACCTTATTTTTAAGCCAGGTCTCACTATGTAGTTCAGGATGGCCTTGAACTCTCTTTGTAGCCCAAGCTGGCCTCAAACTCACAGCGATCCTCCTGTCTCACTGTTTGAGTGCTGGGACAACAGGTGTGTATCACATGCCTGGCATGAAGGAAATCACTGCAGGCAGAGGGAACCACCAGTGCAAAGGTCCTGAGGTCACAACAGGTTCCACATGCTTGCACAGCAACCAGGAGAGAAAGAAGAAAGGAGCAAGGTAGGTGGGAGGTGAAGGCAGGGAGTTCACTGTTCCTGGAGTGGGTCTGTTTTCCTTACCATCTCGGGCCCTCCGCCCCTGCCATTCCTTCTACCAGGCACCTGTCTTCCTTTTAATCACCTGCATTTTTTTTTTTTTTTTTTTTTTTTGTACCGGGAATCAAACTCTGGGCCTTGTGCTTGCCAGGCAGGTGCTGTGCTGCTAAGCTACATCCTGGGCCCACTTGAGATTTTCTAACTCCTCCCTCACAACAGGTGAGGTGCCTTATTTTGGGAGCGGGTATTGGGGGCTGAACCCAGGGCCTTCTCACTCAACTACACTCCCAGGCCTTTTTATTTTGTATTTTGAGCCAGGGTCTCACTAAGTCACTAAACTGCCCAGGCTGGACTTGAATTTGCAATCTTCTTGCCTTAGTATCCCACAGCGTTGGGATGACAAGTGTGTGGCATGATGCTGCAGTAAAAAAGCTAATATTTAAACAGAGATCTAAATAAAGCATTGAGGCCAGCAGAGGGGCAATATAATGAAAGGCATTCCTTTTTTTTTTTTTTTTTTTTTTTGGTTTTTTGAGACAGGGTCTCACTATGTAGTTGAGGCTGAACTGGATCTCACTATGTAGCCCAGGTTGGTCTCGAATTCACAGCAATCCTTTTGCCTCGGCCTCCCGAGTGCTGGGAGTACAGGTGTGCACCACCACGCCCAGCTCTGAAAGGCATTCGTGACCAGACTGTAGCCAGTGCAAAGGCCCTGGGGTTGCAGGTGAGAGTAGTTAGAAACAAGAATGTGCACATGTGCATGTGTGAACACGCGCATGCACACACACACACCCCCCAAAAAGAAAGAAAAGAAAACAAGAGCACAACCCAGTGCTGTTCCAAGGGGATGAGAAAAGTAGAGGTGGGGGAGGCGCTGAGAAGACTCCCTTGCAGGCCAGGTGAGGGGCAACAAGTGTTTGTAAGTCCACTAAGAAGGCAGAAGCAGGCTCTCTGGCAGGGAAAGGCAGGCGAGACCTCAGCGTGAGTTACACAGGCCCAGGAAGCTGCAGGACGCAGCAGCACAGTTATGATGATTGTACAATCCGTCCTTTGTCTCCCTGTGAAGGCCCAGCGTGCAACTCTGTTTCCACCACCACCAGAGTCCCCTGTGGGTATCGCTAAACGCTCTCGCTGAGTAAATGTGCTGGATGGTTGGAGCCAGGTCCTGGCAGGCTTCCCTGTGTGGCATCCGGGGAGGCAGGCTGGATGGAGCTCCGTAAGGGTGCCTCCTGCCAGGCCCACCCGGACTCTCAAGAGACCTCTCTCTGCTGTGGCTTTTCCATCTGTAAAGTGGGTGGACTAAGCTGAGCTTGGTGGGACCAAAGCTGTCATCCCAGGACTTGGGAGGGTGAGGCAGAAGGACTGCTGTGGGTGCAAGGCCGGTCTGGACTACACAGTGAGATCTAAAGAAAAGTGTGGGCTACACAATTAGAAGGAGACGAAGCTCTGTCTGCCAGGAGAAGGGCTACAGACATCCTGGCTTGATGATCAGGATGAGGGGCTTTTCAGATTTTTTTTTTTTTCTTTTTGAGATTGAACTCAGGACCTTGCTCTTGCTAAGCAGGCACAGTGCCACTGAGCTAAATCCCCAGCCTCAGATTTTTCTTTTCCTTTGGGATTTTTTTTTTTTTTTTTTT